CAAGTCCATGGACTCTTCCGCAACCCACGATGACAGACTCACCGACAAACTAAACTCGAATCTCTCCACATTTCAGCCTCGCAACCTCCCACCGCCGCCACTGCTGCCGCCATAGTAGCCGCCACGGTGCCGGCGGCCGCGGTGCCGCTCGACGACGCATACTCCTGCGAGGCCTCCTTGACCATCGGCAGGGGGGGCGTCGGCGAGGTGCGCCGCCTGCGCGGCGACGACTCCGGGGACGGTTCGAGGATGGAGTCCGTGCTCGGGGTGCTGCTGATCAAGGAGACCCCGATGAGGTTGGAGCCCGGGCTGCTGGTAGTACTGCTCCTGGTGGACGTCGGGTGGCCGCTGCTGCCCATGCTGTACGACATGCTCCCGCTCCCGCTGGCCACCAGGGCCGGGGGGCGAGGAACAGTCTGCTGCTGCTGCTGTTGCTGCTGCTGCTGCTGCTGCTGCTGCTGCTGCTGCTGCTGCTGCTGCTGCTGCAGCGGCCCTCCGGGGGACGGCGCGGACTGCTCCGACCCCGAAGACTCTGACCGGTCGGTGGCGAGCATGGGCCGGTTCTGGCGCGCCCGTGCGTTCGAAGAGAACGCGGCCGCCGTCACTGCGCCGGCTCCAGCTCCGGCCGCCGTCGCCGCCGCCGCCGCCGCCGCCGCTACGCCAGGCCTGGCTCCGGAGGTGAGGCCGGCGGTGGTGGTGGTCGATTCCGACGCCGAAGAGGACGTCGTCGTCGTCTCACCGACGACCGAACTCGGGGCCGAGTCTACGGACTCGGCGGGCTCGACTTGGACGATGACGGTCCCCTCCGCGCTCGAGGAGACCTGGCTGCCGACCTGGCTGCCCTCCGCGACCTGCGAGGAGGTGCCGGCGTCGGAGAAGGCTGCTTGCGCACCTGCAATGAACAGAAAAGAAGATGAGCAGCGTGGGGGTGTGGGGGTGTTTTGCGTGAGCGCTTTCGTTCGTACGTGGGTGGTGAGTTATATATACCAAACACACGTTGTGGGCTGCTACAGTACTACCTACCCAAGACCCACCCACCACCGCTAGGCCAGTAATATCAACACATACATACCGCCTTCACTTCTGGGAGGCGCGTTAACTGAACTAAAAAAAAAAAGCGCACCTCTTGGAGATCCTTCCTCCATCACCGTGGGAAGGGCGCCGCCGATGCGGCCGGAGGCGCTGGTGGGGCTCGTCATGTCCGAGGTGCCCAGGAGGAAGTCGGCGAGGGCCATCCGCCCGCGGGCGGAGATTTCCTTGTTCTTAGCCTCGTGCTCTTGTTGGAGAGCGCCAAACTCCGCTCGTTCTTGCTGTAAGTAAAAGTTGGCAAGGAGAGAAATGCGACGGCGGTCGGGAGGAAAGGAAAACAAAGCGTGAGAAAATGGTGCAACGAAGGTCTCAGGGTACTCCAAGGGGCCAACAATGCTTCATTCAATTGACTCATCGCACTCATCTTACGACTGAGTGAACGTATGACGATATAAAGCAGTAGACACTACTGAGTGAACGTATGACGATATAAAGCAGTAGACACTACTGCTACTACCCAAAACAGCACAACACAACGATGACGACGCACGGCCGGGCCCAGCGGCCGATGGAAAAAAAACACAGGGAACCCCCACAAAAAAACACAAAAACATCCATGCATGCATGTATCTTACCTCGATATCTTCGAGGGGTACATCGTCGCGCTTCTTCTGCTCCGTTGTCGCCGCCGCCCCTGCCGCCGCTCCTGCTCCCACCACCGCTGCCGCGGTCACACCCGCCGCGGCGGCAGGGGCAGTAGTAGCACCAGCTGCGTCCCCGCTGTTGATTGCCCCGCTGCTGCCGGCGCGGCCGGCCGGCGACAACGAAGACGCTCTCGCGTCGCTCTCGACGTCGTGCTTGGTCTCCATGGAGCCCGCGGAGACGGCGGAGATGGTAGACGACGACAGCCCGCTGTCGCCGGGCGCGCCGGCTGCGCCGACGGTGGTGGTGCTGATGGGCAACGGCCACTCCTCGGACACCTCTCCGGCATGGGCGGGGGCGGGGGCGGCGGTGGCGGGGCGGCGGCGACCTGCCACCTTCGCCGCCGTCGCCGCCGTCCCCGCTGCGGCACCGGCGGCGCCGGCGGCCAGAGCGCCGGTCGAGGTGCGAGGGGAAGGGGAGTTAACCTGCGGATCGGCGAAGCGCTGCGTCGCGTAGAAGAAGTCGTTGCCGGACGGCGCGCCGAGCGGGGCCGGGAAGCTGGCGTCCGCCGCGTCTTGGGTCTTGCCGCTGTCGCCGCCGCTGGAGTGCGGGGGGTACGCGAAGATGTGGTCCTCTGCCACCCTCCTGGTTGTACCGGCTGCGGGGAGAAGTACGGCGGGGTGGGGGGTACTATGTGCGTGAGCGTGCGAGATCGTTGTTGTTGTTGTCTGTTGTCGTCATGACTGTCCAACAAACACACTTATGCCTCACGTATCATACTTACGCCTTATGTATCCGTCACCACCCAAAGGCCTACCTCAAGGACACGTGATGCTCTCTCTCTCTCTCTCTCTTCCTCTCTCGCAAGACCGAACACAAGTATCGGCACGCTAGTTGGAACCCTAGAAAAAGCAATCGCCAAATACCGAACTAGTAAAAAAAATAAAGCTCACCCTCAATGTCGGTCTCCCCCGCCTTCATTTTAGACGACGTTCCGAAGAAGGGGATCTTGTTCATGAAGCTGCTGCCCCTCCGCTGTTCCTTGATCTCGGACATGCGCTTGGTTGGCAGCTCGAACTGTCGTGAGCGATTTGAGGAGAGGGACGGAAGAAAAAGCCATGTCAAAACAACAAGGTCAGTTTATTGAATGCTTGGGAGCGCAGCGCGCTGCTACTACTTTCCACAGGTATGCAACGCCACGTTTTCCGAAAGAGCGGCGGCGCAAGAGGGCAACCATGGTAGATACCAAATCATCGAATCACTCACTAACATAGGAGGCGAGGGGGGGAGGCACGGGACCAAGGCCGGAAAGAAAGAAACTGACCTCGTCGTTTCCGTCATCGTTAATGGCTGTGCTCTCCTCGATCTTCTCCAGCCTAACGACCCCAGAGTCTCTCCTCCTCGAGTCCTTCTTGCTGATGCACAACATGCAGCAGCACAGGCACAAGCAGGCCAGGAGAACGAGGATGGCCTGCAGGAGGGGTGGGGGGCGGGGCGAGGGGGGGGGGGGGGGGGGGGGGG